GGGCTGGGCTGGGCTGGGCTGCGCTGGGCTGGGCTGGGCTGGAGCGAGCGCCCGTCAAGCTTTGCTAGGATGCCTGGGAATTCGTCTGAGCTTCGACCGCTAACACGGCTGCTGGGCACAGCGGGCAAGGCGCCGCAGGGGGCGATCCGGCTACTTCACTGCACCACTGCAGTCTCTCACCTACGATCGTCTTGGCCAGCTCATGCTGGAGAAGTGAATTAGTGCTGCTTGTCAATCAGGCCTGGTCAGCTGACCGCTAGCACTGAGGACACTCAACTGCATACAGCGGACGAGCGCAACCAATCTCCGTCACCACGCTTGCAGGGCCTGCCCCTCAATGACACCTGGCTGTTCACCGGCAGCGACTATGCCGCCGCCGCGCGCGACACCCTCGACGCCCTGGCGCTGGCGGGCGGCCCCACGTCTCGCGCCCTGCAAGGGCTCGGGCGCCTAGTGCAGGTGGGCGCTTGAACACCCCACCTGGTTTGCTGTTTGGGTGTCAATGCAAGGTGGTGTGGTGCGATGCCTTGAGGACTGGCATTGGCCGACCTCGCATCGCAGTTTTGTTGGTACCGGGCAGAGGGCCACGTTGCCCCTGCACTTTATGCCAAGGGTGTTCCAACCGTGCTGGGCTCCAGCACTCGAGTGGACACGAAACGGCCTGAACTCTGAATCCTAGGGCGATGCCACCTCTTCAGCGAGCCGATCCGGTGCATCCCACTGTACCCGCCCTACCCGCGCGACCATCACCCGCTTCTCGGCAGGCGGGCGCAGCCCGTGGCTGCGTGCACCTTCGGGGAAGTTACCCCCACGACCAGTGGCAGGGCTCTAGGATAGAGGGCTTCGTCGTTTCCCTTGGCCAGCTGGCCACGCCGCCGGAGGAAGCTTCCCTCCGCGCCTTGGCGCCCGCGATGGCGCGCGCGGCGCTGCCGCTGGCCGGGGTGGGGGTGCGGTTGGTGGCGCCGTACGCGAAGATGCTGGCAGCGGCTGGCGGAGACGTGGAGGCCGTGAAGGCGCAGGTGGGGGCGTGTGGATGCACGCTGTGGGCGCCCGCCCGCTGCTGACTGCTCTGCCGCCGATTGCCACAGGCAGCGAGGGGCGCTGACTGGTGTGGCGTCGCTCACACCCGTTCGCTTGTGTCTTTTTCCGTATCTTCGAGTTTCAGTGGATGGGGGCGCCGCCCCTATTTCCCATGGCTCGGCTGTCGCTCAGGGAGACCCCTTACTCCCGCCCGTCATCCAGGTCAAGGCTGCCAACGCAGACTGGCTGCCGCAGCCGCGGATGGAGGCGGCCCCCCAGGCGCTGCGGGACGCCGTCGTGGCCGCCCTCGCCGCGTCGGGCGCCCTGCTCGCCCCCGCCGCCGGCGCTGCTGGCGACGAGGCTGCTGGGCCGCTGGGCGTCGAGTGCCCAGGCGGGGGCGGGGGCAAGGGGCCGCAGCTGGTGTACTCGAGGGGCGCCCTCTCACGCTGCGACGCGCCCCGGCTGCGGGCGACGCTCGTGAGCGCGGCGGAGGGCGCCGCCCGCGCCGCCGACGAAGCGCAGGGCAGCGCAGACGCCGGGTTGCTTCGGCAGCTGATCGGGCAGCTGAAGGGGCAGCCAGACGAGGCGGTCGTGGTCGAAGCCAGGGTGGGCTGCAAGGGGCGCATGTTTGCTCAGAGCGCAGCTCGGGATGCCATCGCTTATGCGCGTATGTGTATGTCGGCGGTACGTGTGTTTCAGGTGTTTGTGAAAGTGTGTGAATGTGTGTGCGTGTGTATGTGCGAGTGTTTGATGGCGTGGGTGTAGCACGCATCTAAGCCCTCGCAACAGTCTTCCTAGGTCATTCGGCAGCGCGGCTGTCGTGCAACCCAACCCAACCTAACCGCACCGCCCGTTCCTCGCCACATCCCGCCGCGCAGTCCAAGGCGGCGCGCGCCCTGAGCGGCGGACCGGACGCCGCCTCCTCCCTCCGCTACAAAAAGAAGATGATCCTGTGGACGCCGCCGTCGGCCCAGGCCACACCCGTGCCGCCCGCCGCCCCTGGACCCGCCGCAGACGCAGGCGGCGGCGGCGGCGGCGCGGGCGCAAGCAGCGCTGGCGGCGGCGGCGGCGGCGGCGGCGCGAGCAGCAACGGCGGTGGAGCCGGCGACGGAGATGGCAGCGGCGTGGTGGGCTACTGCATGATGACGTTTGTGATCCGCAACGGCCTCAAGGCGCTGGCCCTGGGGCTGCCCACCTACCTCGCTTACGTGGACAGCCTGGCGCGCAGCTGGCGGCTGACGCGCCACCAGGCGGCGCAGGTGCGCTTACCTGCAGCCGTCGCATTCGATTGCGGCGGCCAAGCCAGGCCGCAGTGTCGAGCCTGTCGGATATTGGGCACATGATGGGCGCAGTGGACGCAGCAGTGAGGCTGGATGGCGGAAGATGCGGCGAGGGCGGAAGCAGCGGCTGTTCTGAGGGGCTCCAATTGAAGCCGGGGTGATCGTGCGGTTAGGAATGAGCCATGTTGCAACTCACCCTATCGCGCGCATGGCGGGGCACATCCTCCTCCTCACCCGCATCGCCTCACCCCCTCACTGCCTCACGTCCCCAATCCCCCCCCCCTGCACCTGTTACCCCATACCGCAGGTCAACATGTTTGCGCGCGCGTGGGCCGATTGGATATCCCGCCGTGGCGGCGCCGTGGCGGTCAGGGACGCCTCATACCTAGACGCCGCGGAGCCGTTTGCGCGCGCTTTCCTGGCATCGGGCTGCTGCATGGGCGCAGGGGTCCAGGAGCGGCCGCCGGGCGCGTTCCAGGTGGGGCGCCCTATGTGTCTGGCGTTGCTCTGCGCGGACCTTGGGAGTGGGGGTGGAGAGACTGGAGAGACTGTCCGTTACGGCCACCCAACGCGCCCAGACGCATGTCTTGGAGCCCCACTTTCCTTTTCTTACCAACTCCACCCTAGGAGTAATTGGTGGACTTATGCATGACTCACACACACGTATGAACACACACATACACGCACCCTCACGCGCACACGCACAGACCATTGTACACATGCCAACCACATGCACACTTGCGTACACGCACATCCTCATGCACCCGCTGGCCACCCCCCGCTCCCCTAGGGCCTCCTAATCCTGGTGGACACGGATGAGTCACTGGTGGGGGCCCTGAAGTCAGCCCTGCACCTGCAGCACGTGCTGGACCCGGGGGGCCTGCCCCCCTACAGCAAGCAGCTGGTCGCGCAGGTGCGGCCGCCGTGAGGGCGTCAGCGGCGGGGCAGCACGCCCTCGTCGTCTTGGCCATGGCTGCTACTGCTGTTCTTTGCCGTGTCCCTATTTGGCGCCCCTTCCCTACTGCAGTCCTCCCCCTTGTCTCGCCCTTGTGAACCGCAGGGCTCCATCTTGTGTCTGCCGCGGGACACGCCACAGCAGAGCGCCGTGCCGCGGGGCCTGATCCCCCTCCTCCAGGCCGCCGCCCGCCACACTTTCGCGGTCGTGCAGCGGCCCCCGCCCCCTGTTTCTAAAGACCCCAGCAACGGCCCCGCTGCCAAGCGCCAGTTCGGGATCCACAAATCCAAGGTTAAGCCGATCGAGAAGGCAATTGAGGCGGCGGTTGGGGCGGCGGCGATGCAGCGGCGGGTGCTGCAGCTGGACGCCCCGGCCGACGCGGCGGAGGTGGCCGCGTGGGCGGGGGGCGGCGCGCCGCTGCCGGAGCCTGACGCGGCGTGCGTCGTCTGCTTTGTCGGCATACCAGGTGAGGAGTGGGGCAGGATGTTTGCAGCAATGAGCCACGCCGATCTCGTGAGCGAAGAGTGCCTCATTCCAGGGTGTGCCGTCCCAACCAGAGTTCCCCCTGCAACTGTCATCCAGTCCTGGCCCCTTTTTTGCAAATGGCGCACCTGTCCTAGCCGTGCACCTGCAGCTTGTACCACCGTTTGCACCCCAAGCAAGCCTCCTATGATCCATTGACCCCAAACCACCACCGGCCGCACAGGCTGTGGCAAGAGTGCGCTGGCTCAGGCCCTAGGAGACACCCTGCCGGGCGTCGAGGGGCCCAGCAGCCTGCAAGTGCTCAACAGCGACCGCCTGAGGCAGAAGGGGCTGCCCAGCAACAGGTGCGGGCCGGGCAGCAGGCGCACTTGGAGGACGTTGGTCCTTGCCGTGCTCGACACGATTCAGCGGATAAAGGTGCATGGCTCGCGGTATCACTGCTGCAGGCGCCACCCCAGGCGCGGCCCTGCGGCACCCTGTTGACCGCGCGGCCGCGTGTTTGACCCGCGTGCAGGTACTGGCACCAGGTGGCGGCGGCCGCGGACAGCTGCGTGGGCGGCGGTAACGTGGCGGTGGTGGTGGCCGACAAGAACCTGGTGCCATACCCCCAAGACAACGTGGGCCGAGCTGCCGCCACCCTGAGGGAGTGCGGTGGGTTCAGTTTGTTTATTGTGTGTATTTCTGCACGCTGAGCGTTTGATTCTGCTCTCACAGCAGCTCGTTCCTGCTGACATGGCGAGGCCTCCAGGTGCACATGCGACTGACGCCACGGCTCTCATCACTGCAACACCGATTCGCGCTCACACCCGGATGTTCGACACAGGCGCCGCAACACTGGCAGTGGTGCCGACCTGCGCCGGCGCCCCCCCCGCGTCCCGCCCCGACGTGCACTGCGGGCTGCCGGAGCTGCCGTTCCCGCTGGAGCTCGTCGCGCTGTGCGCGCTGAGGGCCGTGCTGCGCTCGTCGCACGAGGGCGGGGTCGACGCACGTGCGCACGGGCGTGTGGGAGGGCGGGTCCGGGCTCGATGCCGCCCGCTGGAGCGCAGCCTGGGCAGTTATCGGCCGCGTCACTGAGTGTGGCTGGTGTGCGAGTCCACCATTTGGGGGGCCGCTCCTGACAGCCAATGGATTAAGCAAGCGACCTGCATCCCTGCAGTCGTGACTGGGCCACGCGTCCATGCTCTGCTGGATGGTGCCTCATACCACCAGCATACGCCGACCCGGCGTCTCAGACCCGCAACGCCCCGCCCTGCGCGTCGCCCGCAGAGTCGCCCGCCTGCATGACGGTGGTGGTGCGATTCACCCACTACTACCGCCACATCAGCAGCGAGGACCTGCTTGGGCAGCTGCGGTCGCACTTCAGCGCGGTTGTGGAGCTGCCCGTGATGCAGCTGGGGCCTGGGGAGGATCAGCAGGTGGGTCGTCCATTCACGCATTTCTACATTGCGGAGCGGCCCGGTTGCCGGCATGCCGATGGCGGCTTGCAGGCGCATGCCTCGGCGTTCGCAGCAGCGCCCAACGGCTGTGCGCACAAGATTTAGTCATGGCACGGACCTGTCAGACAGCAGAGAACGCCATCCATTGCCCCACTCGGACCCCAGCCTGAACCCCACCAGACGCCTTTGTCCGCCATTCCCACCCAGATCACACCACCTCGATCCACCGCTTTTGAAACATCATGCCTCTCCCATGCCCAGGTCCCCCTGGAAGTGCTGCAGCACCTGGCCCACGGCCTGGTCTCCCTAAACCAGCAGGAGAACCCGCCCCTACCACCAGAGTGGGAGGAGCGCGCGCGGCAGCTGCTGACATCAGAGCCCGTGCGGTCCCGCGTGCTGGCGCTGCAGCGGCCGCTGGAGGACTGCGCGGGGGACCTCGCCGCGGCGGTGCGGGGTGTGCTGCTGCAGCAAGCAGACTGCGGCGGGGGCGGCGCCGGCGGCGCGTGTCTGCGGACAGAGGCGTCGCTGCCGAGCGCACTCGCGCACCTGTCCACCGCCGGCAGCCAGGCTGGCGCTGCTGTGGCGGCGGTGGTGGCGGGATCGCGACCGATGGACGTCGATGGGGGCTCTGCAGCGGCGGAAGGCGGCGGTGACGTCGCGGCAGCGTCAGACCCCGCCAGAGGCGTCCGCTACATTGCCATCGCGGGCTTCGACCCCGCGCCCCTGTTGGCAGCTTCCCGGCAGGTGCTGCCCCCGGAGGCGCTGGCGTGCCAACAGGCAAAGGCCGGCCTGCAGCTGCACGTCACGCTGTGGCATGCAGAGGACCCAGTGGTGGGGCCGCAGCGGGGCCTGAGGGATGCGCTGCTGGCGGCTGTTGGGTCCGAGGCGGTGTTTGAGGCGGTGTCTATCGACTGCAGCGCTGGCGTCACGGCGGCGCAGGTGTGCGCGGGGCTTCGAACGGGGCAGCAAAGCGGATGGTTTGGCACGGAGAATCCCTCAAAGAGGAAGTGCACACAGTTCCTCACATGTGTGCCTTTCAAAAGGCCCTCGAGTCGTGCAGACCGGGGTCCACTGGCCAGCAGTGCGTTGTCAGAACCTTGGCACACGTTCGCTGTGGTTGCCATGCACTCACACCCACGCACACACAAACACACACACCAAGCCACTCTACCTCACTGCTCACAGGTGCGTCTGCTGTCCGGCCCCGAGGGTGCCGACACAAAGGCCTACCTCCACGTAACGCTCGCCGTGGCACCGGGCAGCAGGCCCAAGGACGCAGCCTCTCTGCCAAGGCTTGTGGCCGAGGGGTCCGCTTTGCGAGTGGCACTGGCCGAGCCGCTTCAGATGGTTGGGCAGGTGCTGGCGTTCTCTTAGGGTAGCAAGGCGTGGCTGGGGATGCGGTAGGCAGGAAGCGTAGAGCCCGGTGCATGGGGGATGAGGTAATACGATTCGCGCGCACCAGGGCATGCTGCAAGTTTGCAAGCTTTTCAAGGAAAGCCCAAGATAGCTTCTTGAGCAGGCTTGTGGCGCTGAACGCTCCTTTTTGCCCTTTGTGAACCTGTACAGACAAAGCTTTCTTCCCACTTTCGTCAAAATTCAAGGTGATTGCCATTGTTTGGTCAAGCTGTTCCAGCTCGACACATTGTTTTGCGCACCACAGCATGTGCTGTAAGAAACGCAGCAATTTCATCACGGAATGGTTGTTGCCAGGGTGACTATGCAGAGGCACTGATCAGGCTCGGGCCGCGGGGCAATCCAGGCCTTTTACAACCGGTTGCAGGGGCAAAGGGGGGTAGGGTGGGCCTGCCACTTGGCTTGTGCCCGAGTAGTCCAGCAGATTGCAACAGGTTCAAATGCCTTGACAACGGCAGCGCCGCTGCACAGGTCACAGCAGGCGGTTGGGATTGGGGGAAACGTGGCCGCTTCAAGGACTTCCCTCCAGCCCAAGCAGCGGGACCAGTGGTGCAAAAACCTTGTGGATCCAGACAGAGAACAGGAACAGCACGGTCTGTTGAGGTGTGGGTGCATTGCATACTGGACCGGCTGCTTGAATACCTGGTGCGCATAGGCCATGGGCATGGATCCATGCAATGAATGACAGGCGCACAGGTGCGCAGGCTCCGCACAGCGATTGCAAACAGGTGTTTACTTGGGATGATGCAGTATTAGCCAAAAGCCACCAGCAATGATCGGTGCAGCTCAATTTTGAGGTTTGACTGAAAGGCACCTTAGACAGGGGATGCTCGCACACGTGACAGTCCCTGTGTCACAGTGAAGGCCTAAAATGGGCTGGGGTGGCGCCTCGCCTCTTCCATGCACAGCTTCAGCCATGGCGCCGACTCATCTGCTCATGGACTGGGGGCGTACGGGCTGCCATCACCCGGGTCCCATAAGTGTGCTGGCTGGCACTGTGGTGGCGGGAGGCCGCTGCCCCTGGGGCGCCACCTGGCGGTGCCTGCACAGCCGCGCTCGACGACATGAGGTCCGTGATGGCGTCATGGTGCTGGTCCACGGCAAAGGTCCTTACGGCGTGACGGTTGTCCGCGCCTCCACTGAGGGCTTTGTGGAGCTGCCGGGGTGCCGCCGGGGACTGCTCATCAGCGCAGGCGCCGCCATCCGCCTGGACGCCTTCTGTCCAAAAGCTGCATGCCGCCGCGCCTGGTGGCTGGTGCCGCGGGGCGCCTGTGGAATGGCTCGTTCTCAGCACCCAGGCGTTCCCCTGCCCAGACTTGCTGCAGACGATGTCGCTGCCCAGCCGCCGGAGGCTTGGCAGCTCTGGCGCTGCGTCGGTTGAGCTGCTGTCATGCGACGCGCCCGATGGCAAGCAGGCATGTGCAGGCGTGCAGTGCGGCGGAGCGGGTCCCAATCTTGTGGGTGATGAGGGACACGACGCACTGTGCGGGGCGGGGGGCCGGGTGTGGCTCTCCTCCTCGATGAGCTGTTCAATCTGCCACTGACGCAGGCTAGCCAGGGCGCCGTCTGCGGCTGTGGATGTGGATGTGGAGCGCAGGCGGCGGCCGGCGTTCGTCAACGAAATGCTTATGTCTCTTGGGTCATACACACAAGAGCAAGTTCCGTGGAAGATGTGGAGACAGGCCAAGACAGGCCTCGTATTCACCTGGGTGCGTGGACGTTCTGGACGTTGGACCCAGCTGCTGCTGCTGCTGCTGCTGCTGCTGCTGCTGCTGCTGCTGCTGCTGCTGCTGCTGCTGCTGCTGCTGCTGCTGCTGCTGCTGCTGCTGCTGCTGCTGTGGCACTGCTGGTGGCAGCTGCTTTGATCTTGAGTGAAATGAAGTCATGGGATTCGACAGCCGGCTGTGACAATGCTTGTTGATTGAAGGTGGGCAGGATGTGCTGGCAGCGCCACCATCGTACTCTGGATTGGCGGGCGATGCGACCCTGGTGGGAGCCTCCAGCAGCGCCTTCTGCAGATGCCACTGCTCTAAGGGCGTCAGGCTGGGCGCCACGGGCTGCCACGGATTCGCAAGGGCCCTGGGGTCCCGGGTGAACTACCTGGCGCTGCGCAGCATCCCACACTGCATCATACGCAAGCTGGGTGGAGTGCCGTGCCGCGTCACGTTCCCAGCTGTGAAGGTATGGACCACACTGCTCCTGTAAGGTGTATCGTAATGGCGGGTCAGGCGCAATGCGTTGGGTTTTGCACATGTCAGCGTCTTGCTCAGTGCAGTAGTTGAGTAGGCGAGTATACCGTACGTAGGACTTTGGCACGCCTGGCACAGTTGAGAATGCTGCCAAGACGGCCTGCATGCGTATGCAGGCCGTGCTCACTTCAAGGTACCAATGTATTGTGTTCAGGACACGGATAGCCCGTCTACCCCCGTAAGACGCATAAGCGCGCAAAGCTGCCATACCTCGGAAAGTGCCGTAGCTCGACTCGAGCTGTGCAGCTCGGAGCTGCACAGAATATTTAGTATGACGTCGACACTATGAGTTTGTGTTTGAGACCTTTAAGTGGATCGAAGACATTAATTTGGAGGTGTGACACATTGGGTCCTCTGTGTCCAGGGAACCCAGCCGGCGGTTGGCTCGGCAGCTGCCAAGTTCTGACGAGGCGAGGCTGCCGTTCAATGCTGCAGCCCTGCCAGTGCCCTAGATGCGGCGCTATCGACACTTCAAACCGATGCAGTAGTAATATCCCACATTTTCTCGGCAAGATGGATGGCAGCTGACAGTCCGTCAGCAGGCTGCTGTGCGTCTGGTCCAGCACAACTTGCAAATAAAGCGCCAGAGATGGGGGGTGTTGATCGGCCAGACGTTCAGCAACGGCTAGGGCAGTCAATGCATAGCGTACGCAAATCCACAGAAGATAGGAACGATGCTCTACCTGGGACCAAGCAAGCACTAGGCAACAGTCGCACGGTTTATTGGCATCCGGCACTACGACAAAGGATCGCACTAACCCCGCGCTAAGAGGCGTTGGCCTGACACTAGTGTTAGTGCGGCGTTAGCGCGAGGTTAGTGCGTGGCCACGCGCTAGTGCACACTTAGCGCCTCCCCAGGATCGCACTTAGTGTCTGGCCCCGCACTAAGGGTCCAACTAGTGCCATGCCACGGGGTAAGGCCAGCAACGTACTGCTCAACAGCCTGTTACAAGTGAAAAGAAAGCTAGGGCGTCCAGTCTCCGTCGCAGGCAGCGCCCCCTGCGTTGTGCCAAGTCGGCGTGGTTGACGCCGCAAGGACGCGCGCTCGCTGCACCCAAGCTAGCAACGCCAGTGCCGCCGCCGCTGCTGCCGCCGCACAGAGACGCCGCCGCGCCGCGCGTGTCGTCAGAACAGCAGTCCCACCGTCGGCGATCTTGTAGGTTTGATTTATCTGGCGTGGGCGGCGATCAGATCACAGGATCAAATATTGCGTAGTGGGAATGTGCTGAAGCATGTGCGCCCATAGCAGTACCAGATTCAGCAACGCATCCCCTTCCAGCAGACTGGCGTGCACGTGCACCCTGTCGGTGCCCGTGCATGTAATGCATACGGGATGTCCAGCGCGGCAACGGATGCAGCGCCGAGGCGTGCAAAGGGGCGTGAGTGGGCTCATGCATCAGACGGCGCACCCACCAGACTCGGAGTGCCCACAGTAGCGGCGGCTAGAGCTTGTCTTGCCCTGATGGAGAGCACCGCCCCACACGCTGCAGCCGCCGCCGGCAGGTTCTGGTTGAGAGCGCTTTGCAGCGCCTGGAGACAGATGCCTTGCGCGTGCAGCAGGCGGTGGAAGCTGGGCTCTCGATCAATCGCCTAAACAAGCATATGAGCTTAGGCCTTCGCAACTGAAAGGTGCGATGGCGGAGGAACGGCGCCCTGAACAAGTAGGTTGGAACGCGGCTCTAGTGATCCGCGTGTAAGCTGATGAATGTTGTGCTGTGGCGAAACGAAACGATATGCTTTGCAATTATGATGATGCCAGGATTGTTGCAAAGCTGTTTGCACGTTTGCAGCATCCAGGGCGGTGATCTGGGGTGACCTGCAGTACACCACTTCCGCCGGGCAATGCTTTGTGAATTTATCCCAATAACATCGATGAGCTATAGTAAAATAATAAGCAAAGGCGGCCTACGGTACTCCCGCCTATTGTCATCTATGCCTGCTGCATGCATATGGCTGCACCTTGTTTGCAACCAGTGTTTGCAACAGCGAGGAACGCTGGCATTGGCGCAATGCTATTATTTTGAACATATGCTGCTCAACAGTGAAGGTTTGCGCTACATGGTCATGGCAGGTGTCATCGCCAGCAGCAGCGTGTGCGACCTGTGTGCGGCACACAGCACTGGGGGGTATGCCATATGCAAACACAGCAAGTAACAGCACTCGGGCAGAGGCGGGGCCGCGCCCGCACTAAGGGCACTTAATGTCCCACAGAAGCACTTAGTGCCGCTTAGTGCCCACTAGTGCGGCACCAACGCCGCTTAGTGCGGGGTTAGTGGGATCCGTTGTCGTAGTGGATCCCTGCAAGGCCCATTTGCCGCCACCGAGCACTAGCAGCAGGCGCCTGCAGCGCCAGGCAAAGATCACAAATACTTAAGTTTATCCTTAGACTTGGGTGGCCTGCCATAGTGGACAACGAGGAGCCCGCGTCACGGCCGGCAGCTGAATTCGTAGGCACTGGCGGTCTTGGCAAGCGCCCGAGGGGCGCTGGAGGTCCAGTCCCAGTGATTCTGCACATATCAGACCCACCCCGCAAACCATCAAAACAATCACTAAATTATCTCAATAACCACATTTGACGCACAAAACAGCACAGCACATAAGAGTCTGCGAGCGCTGAGTTCTTCCACGGGCTGAATCTGGGCCAGCTGCCACCATGGCGTCCTTACTGCACAGCGTCGCCGACAAGACGGCTCAGATGATCAGTTATGAGCATGCCTGGCGTGGCCTGCTGCCCGTAGAGTGGGTCCTTGTGACCGCATTCGCGTGTCTGGATGCGCAGCTTTTGGGCAAATACACGCGCTCCGCCTTTTCGAGCCCTCAGAAAAGGCACTATGGAGCGCTCAAGCTTGCTGCCCATTACGCGGCTGGAATGGCCGCCATGACAGCCGGCCTGTCCGCCATCCTGCTGCACCAAGTGTGGTGCTGGGGCAAGGGGCGGGTGGGGGGTGTGGGGAGGGGCTGCAGGTGCCTGCATGGGGCTGCACCGTTGCAAGTGCTCTGGAGCGCTCTGTGAGTGCATGCGCTTGCCCTGCAGCTGCGAGGCTTAAACGAACGTGCTGGCTGAACGGCGGGCATGTAATCGCTGCTCTCCAGAGCGAGATGGTTACAATACAATCCGGTCGCATCCACCTACAGAGCAACCCAGCAACAAGGTTTGTGCTGCTACTGTATGCACTCACAGCGCCTGCGTCTCCACTCCACCCACCCGCTGCACCTGCAGGTGCTGCCCGGCTCGGTGCTGGCGCTTGCCGCGGCTCGGGTGGCCTCGGCCGCGGGGCTGTTGTGCAGCTTGGGCGCGATCTTCATGGCGCGGTACACCCAGGGCCACGAGGGCTTTGTGATGACCGGCTACATTGTGTGAGCGCTGCTGCGCGCAAACGTGCCTGCCTCACCTGCAGGCGCACGTTTGCGTTCAGGGGGGAGCGAGCGAGCAAACCGGTTCGCGCAGTCGCACCTGGATCACACCATGCATGCACGCACACACCCACACAC